GGTCTCTCTCTGATCTCTCTCTGGCCTCTCTCTGGTCTCTCTCTGATCTCTCTCTGGTCTCTCTCTGATCTCTCTCTGATCTCTCTCTGGTCTCTCTCTGATCTCTCTCTGATCTCTCTCTGGTCTCTCTCTGGTCTCTCTCTCGTCTCTCTCTGATCTCTCTCTCTGTCTCTCTCTGGTCTCTCTCTGGTCTCTCTCTGGTCTCTCTCTGATCTCTCTCTCGTCTCTCTCTGGTCTCTCTCTGATCTCTCTCTCGTCTCTCTCTGGTCTCTCTCTGATCTCTCTCTCGTCTCTCTCTGGCCTCTCTCTGGCCTCTCTCTGGTCTCTCTCTGATCTCTCTCTGGTCTCTCTCTGGCCTCTCTCTGGTCTCTCTCTGATCTCTCTCTGGTCTCTCTCTGGTCTCTCTCTGGTCTCTCTCTGATCTCTTTCTGGTCTCTCTCTGGTCTCTCTCTCTCTCTCGTCTCTCTCTGATCTCTCTCTCGTCTCTCTCTGGTCTCTCTCTGGTCTCTCTCTGGTCTCTCTCTGGCCTCTCTCTGATCTCTCTCTGGTCTCTCTCTGATCTCTCTCTGGTCTCTCTCTGGTCTCTGGTCTCTCTCTGGTCTCTCTCTGGTCTCTCTCTGGTCTCTCTCTGGTCTCTCTCTGGTCTCTCTCTGGTCTCTCTCTGGTCTCTCTCTCTCTCTCTCTGGTCTCTCTATCGTCACTCTCTCTCCGGTCTCCTTCTCTGCTGGTCTCTCTCTCTGTCTTTGCTCTCTCTCATCTCTCTCTGTCTTCGGTCTCCCTCTGGTCTCTCACATGTCTGTATGTTTACTCTCTGTCACGTCTTTAGATCATCTTTGCCAGACAGAAAGCAGGACCACCCTCGCTCGGCCAATCAGCTCTCAGTATGTCAAATAAATCGTTTTTTTCCAAGACAGCACGGTGCGGTCTGATGGATTCTCAAAACGTTACTTAAAAACACTGGGCCCATGTTTGTAAATATATACGTCCATTCCACAGGACTCTTCCCTATTGGCTGGTATTATGACTGTGGCGCAGGCAGGTGTCACGGCTGATGGACTGGGGGAGAGCAGAGTCTGGGGAAACCTGATGAAGCTGCAGGAGTGATGAGAAGATGCGCTTTATATGGAAAGATACAGTGATGACATGAGCTCTGACAGGAGAAGAAAAATAGTCCACATTTCACGGCAGCGACGGCAGACTGGAAAAGGCCAACTCTGAACAAGAAATGTGGAGCAGCGTATGTGGTGATAGAGGTCAGTTCTCGGGGGTTTTAAATGCGCTGAAAACGGTAGAAAGTCCTAAGTAGCTCTGAAACAGTTGTTGTTTTGTGTTTTACAATTGTTATTTTTCTTGCTTTTTTCTGCCTGAGATGTTGCTGCAGTACAGTGTTCATGGTTTTACACTGGTCCAGACCAGAGCAGAGGATTCATGGTCCAGGCCATGCAGTTCAGGAGAAAATCCACTGGAGGAATGCTGACTTTTTGAAAATGCTAATGAAGCATTTAAGCATTTTACTTTGGACCAGAGCAGAGAAAATGGTCCAAACCAAGCTCCTCCACCTCTGCTGCTGTGACCTGAAGTAATGTTGCTGATTATTACTATTATTATCTTTTTAGAATGATCTATTTATGTGTTTTGTTTGTGTGGATGGATGTCTTTCTGCTGCTACTGGACACCTGCATTTCTCCAACGGGGATCAATAAAGTATCTATCTATCTATCACAGTAACACGTTTAAAGGTAAATAGGAGGATTTTCTTAAATTTTAGGAAAGAACCGCCCTCTCCACATTTTGAACAAACTCTTATTTTAGAATCAGAATCATTTTTTATTGTCATGTAAACAGACTAGAAAATTGCTTTGGCTCAAACAGGTCAAGTAGAGAATAGAATAAGGCATAATGAAAAATATCTACAGTTTAAATGTTTCTAAAATATAAAATATAATTTTTTTTATTATTTGACGAGCACGTATCACCAGAATGAAAAGGTCCTTATGATCCACCCAGAAGTAGAAAACCCTCCGATATTCCTTTAAGTGAGTATTGGTGCCAAGTAGAACAATGTGCTGATTCTAATATTGGATGATTTCTAACTCTGGTCTCTGATTTGTTTTGGAAGAGTTGTCTCTTGTTAAGGATAAGAAAACCCACAGTCTGTTATTTCAGATCAACTTTCAATCACAGATTGTGCGATTGAATCACTGAGCTATGCTAACCCGCTAGCTCAGTGACGCCCAACAGGGAAAGGCCCATAGACAAAGTTTTTCTCCCACTCGCTCTGCGGCCTGTTTGTAACACTTACGAGGAGTAGTACAGGGAAAGGGCTGTATAGTATATACTAGCATACAACACAGTAGTAGGGTTATCTTCTATGGACCAGATCAGAAACCTAGACTCGGCTACAGGAGGAGTGAAATAAACCTTAAATCAATAAGAGACCACAGACCAGTGAGTAAAGTTAACTGCCGGCTTATTATTTAAACAAAATAGACAAAAGACAATGACATACATTAAACATTAAACGTTGAGAAATCCTTTTCCGTTAAACCTTTTAGTTTACTTTTAAAAGATTTAATTTATTTTAGGTTATATCAATATATAGGCTACTATTGATGTTGGTTCTTTGTAGTAGTAGGTTGCAACCTTTAGTTCTTTTTATTTTCAATTCAAGTTATTTCGTTACTTGAGTTAACTCTGTTTTGAAGTTTAGATCTATTCTGTTTCAAGTTCTTTTATAGTAATAGGTACCTTTTGTTGTTTACAACCAAACAGTAACATTAATACTGTTATAATACAGTACTTGTGTATGGTCAATAAAATAAAATATTCAAAACTTCACAAAACTCAAAATATTCAGCAAAAGACTGAACAATCTGTATACCACAGAAAGTCTTTGGATTAGCAGTCCAATGTTGTTTATCCTGAATCCTCTAGTCTCGGTGGACAGTGGATAGGTCCTACCAGTTCAGATGTAAACCATGCAACGTCCAGTAGATGGCAAATCCTGACTCACGCACAATTCACACAAGGTCCAATGGGTGGCTCGCCATCATGGATCCAGCACGAGTCAAATCTTCAAATCCAGAGTTTGTCTAATCGACAATTCTTCATCCCAACTTAAGTTGGCCTAACGTAAACAACATAAAATAAGTAAAGACACTTAAAATAAAACGCTAGGTAAGTCTAAAACTAAGAAAATGTACATTTCCGATCCTAAACCATGCTCGTTAAAATGGCGCCAACATGGCGGACAAGAAAAACAGACGGAGCATTGACCTGCAAAGTCAACGCTTGGATTGGCTTAAAATATACCAAACATTTACCCTTTAACAGCTTAAATTAAATACCTTAGCTTTCTGTTTTTCATAAAACAACAATTACTTTGTACAAATATAGTTTACAGAAAAGAAAATACATGGTTTCCACTCACCAAGTCCCGTTAATCCAAGTACACAAACCTCCGAGACCACGACTTGGTTGGAAAACCGTCAATACCTTTGTAAAAGTTTGAAATAACTCTTAGATAACTTTACACTTGTTGCTTTACAAAAAAAATAAATATATTTCTCGAAACTCACCGAGTCCTGTTGCTTGGCAAGACACCAGGACAGGTCGGAAAACAAAAATACCTTCTTCGAAGTACAAAAAGGACTTCTAGGTTGGTTTAGACTCGTTTTCTGCGCTTATTCCTCTGCTATTTTCACTGCAGTACTTTGCGTGTTTCTCTGCATCTACCTGTTTAGCATTGGGGAACTTTCTGAGTAATCTGATTGGCTGTTGTTTGGTGCAGGGGCGTCACAACAACGTGCCCTTCAAAATAAAAGTCTACATGGGTCTCAACCAATTAAAAATGTAATTAATAATAATTTTGCATGTTTTACATGTTTTTAACTAAATTAATATACAGAAAAAGTAAATATAACTTTTTAGACGTTTTTAGATACATTTCACCATATGAACTTATTTATTGGCTTTTTACATTCAAAGTATTTATTGCTGTTTTTATTAACATGCTTTTACTCTGGTAGCTCTGTTAACCTCTGGGTTACATGTTGACTTACAGTACATGGATTAATCCTCTAGCTAAGAGTATTTTTTTGTCATGCTCACCATTTTGAGCCTAAATGTGCTTTATCGCTCTCTGTGATCCTGGTGTTTACCATATTCTCAGGAGTATTAATCGCACCAGCCAAAAATGCATAATAAAGAAGGAAAAAAAACGTTGCACAAAAGTTGCATTTTTTATAGCTTAATTGGTCAATTCAATAGCCTGGCTTAATATTTGATATTTTGCGGTAAACAAAATGTAAAATATAAATATTCATATATTCACACATGGCCAAACTATGACAAAAACATACTCCTGTACCCAAAATAATATGGTAAATGGGAGAGTGTCTTTGTAAATCCAGATATGAGCCATATAAGGATTGACCAATCAGATGTCTTCATTCGCGGGGTAAACTCCAGCCTGCCTTAGCAACCGCCTTAGCAACACTTCTGCCCCTGTTACGACACAAAGCTAATGCCAAAGAATAAATGTCCATGTCTCAGATACTGCTGTAATCTCACGTCTTTGGAAGATCGTGGACACAGAGTGAGATGGATGAGGACGCTAAATGCAGGAATGCCAAAATATGAAGATTTAATGAAGATAATAAATAAAATGAATCAAAAATCCAAACAAAACTCAGGATTGTAGACAAACAAAGGCAATGCAATGGACCAGCAACAAGGGGAGAGGAGCACAGGTACATATGGACACAGAGAGACACAGACACAGGTGTAAAACAGGGCGGGGCAGACCATCAAGACAGGAAGTAACACTAAAAACCAATCCAACTGAGAACTGATATAAAAATAAAACCAAAGTACATAATAACACAAACTCCTCACCATGACACACAGACACCGTGGATCTCCGCTCGTGTTGAAGAACTTTACACAGAAAGCTGCTAGCTTTAGCACGTTAGCATCAAAGCTAAGCTCAGATTGCGTACCTTGAATTCCATGGGGGTGTACTTCTCGTTCTTGGGGGTGGTGTTGCCCTTGTAGTTGAGGTGGTTGGGGGTGGTGGGGTGGATCACCGCAGACTCCTGTGACGGCTTGTGGACGCGCTGACAGTAAACGTAAACCAGGAAGGAGAGAAGCCCCGCCCCCAGGAAGCAGGAGACCCCCGTGGCGATGAGGTGGATGGAGGTGAAGGCTGCAAACACATTCATCACTGAACGTCAACAAGTTATGAAACGAAAAGTTATGTCTCTTTATGATTCAGGCTTAGAAGGTTCTTTTAATAGGACACAAGTGTAAAGCCAGGGAATTACCAGAGAGAGACTAGAGAGAGACCAGAGAGAGACCAGTGAGAGACTAGAGAGAGACCAGAGAGAGACCAGAGAGAGACCAGTGAGAGACCATAGAGAGACTAGAGAGAGACCAGAGAGAGACCAGAGAGAGACTAGAGAGAGACCAGAGAGAGACTAGAGAGAGACTAAAAAGAGACCAGAGAGAGAGACCAGAGAGAGACTAGAGAGAGACTAGAGAGAGACTAGAAAGAGACCAGAGAGAGACTAGAGAGAGACTAGAGAGAGACTAGAAAGAGACCAGAGAGAGACCAGAGGGAGACCAGAGGGAGACCAGAGAGAGACCAGAGGGAGACTAGAGGGAGACTAGAGGGAGACTAGAGAGAGATTAGAGAGAGACTAGAGAGAGACTAGAGAGAGACTAGAGAGAGACTAGAGAGACTAGAAAGAGACCAGAGAGAGACCAGAGGGAGACCAGAGGAAGACCAGAGAGAGACCAGAGAGAGACTAGAGAGAGACTAGAGAGAGACTAGAGAGAGACTAGAGAGAGACTAGAGAGACTAGAAAGAGACCAGAGAGAGACCAGAGGGAGACCAGAGGAAGACCAGAGAGAGACCAGAGAGAGACTAGAGAGAGACTAGAAAGAGACCAGAGAGAGACCAGAGGGAGACCAGAGGGAGACCAGAGAGACCAGAGAGAGACCAGAGAGAGACCAGAGGGAGACCAGAGGGAGACTAGAGAGAGACTAGAGAGAGACCAGTTAGAGACCAGAGGGAGTCCGGCGAGAGACCAGAGGGAGACCAGAGAGAGACCAGAGGGAGACCAGAGAGAGACCAGAGAGAGACCAGAGAGAGACCAGAGGGAGACCAGAGGGAGACCAGAGGGAGACCAGAGAGAGACCAGAGAGAGACCAAAGAAAGACTAGAGAGAGACCGTTTATACAAGTTCTTCTATATCTATGTGTTTTAAAAGCAGTAGAAGAATGAAAGAAATAAGCAGAGATGACAGAGACAGGCTCTTTGAAAGAATCAACAATGAAATATTGCGTTGCTCACTAAATAATTAGCCATTTTTCGACAACGTCCTTCTGGCAGATACTTAGCTCTCAGCCTATTACTTTTTACGAGACTTTCTAATGGTGTATATTTCAGTAGCTAATGAGGATCTAAGTAAAAACAAACTCCCCAGCTTTACCCTAATTTTGATTTGAATGAACCGTCCACAGTACAGTATATGATATGATTGAACTCGGTCCTGGTCCTGCTCTGGCAGACGGCAGCTTCCTCCCGTCTCTCTTTTGCTTTTACACTACTGTTTTCTGCTTTTCTTGTTGACGTCTCGACAAGCGCTGCCCTTTCCACAAACCACTTTTCTGTCATAGCGTTTTTTGCTGTTGTTGCTCCCACTCTCGGAACAATGCGCAGCTATAAATGTATGCATGGTTACAGGTATGGCAGACAGCGGACATGCAAACACATAGAGACAGGTAACAAAGGGATTTTTATATTTATACTGTATATGTATGGATTTTTTTTCCCATTTTGGACTCACCTCCGCACTGCTGATCCTTATCAAAGCCTGAAGCGGGGAGAATGACTGTGGAGAGGAGAGGACAGGGTCAGACACACATGCAGACAGGACAGAACCACACTGGGATACACACACACACACACACTCACATGAAACAAAAACAATAAGACTCAATGGGAGACTTGGAATGAGGGCCGTGTCACAGTTCAACAGTGTTTTGAGTCGCTTCCAGAGTCGCTTCCATAAACACAGGTGGCACAAAGAAAGCCATTTCCGTTTTTATGTTATGTTTTTTTCTTCTGCGTTTGGGAGAAGAACCGGTAAATGCTGACAATGTGTGATGTGGTGACTGAATGTGAAGCCATTTTTATCAAAGAAATGCAGCTGTGAAATCAAAACATACAATCTTCTTCTCTAGGCGTTTGCTCTCTGCTCATGTGCCAATGCTAATAGCAACCAGCTTTTTAATGTTTTTATTGTTTCTTTGGTTGGGACAGTACATGTTCATGAACACATCGCTCGGGATTGTAGCCTTGGGTTAGTTTTCATCCGTCGTCCCACAGCCGCACTCATTCACCCTGAACTATTGTACATGTTTTTAGTGGTAGGGGAAACTGGAGCACCCGGAGGAAAACTACGCAGACACGGGGAGAACATGTAAACTCCACTCAGAAAGACCCTGTTCCAACCGGGATTCGAACCCTTCTTGCTGAGAAGCGAGAGTGCTATCCGCCCGACCACTGTGTCAAGTACCCAAGCTTAAGGCAAGTTAAAGCTGGGGTACTTAACTTGCCTTCATTCGCAGGGGAGAGCGTTCTGTGAAACTGGAAAGGTTGGAGTGTTCTTTGTCCAGAATATTGTTCCTGTTTTGTATTTGGTGTGTTTTGTGAGTGGATTTCTTTCCCATGTTCCTATTCTGGATCCCTGGCCTGTGACTGGAGGACCACTGTCCCTCCTACTTCCTGGAAATCTCCAGCTCTAGGTGCTGATTGGAGCAGCGGCTCTACACCTGTCCAATCCAGCGTGCTCAGTTGGGGGCCACACTCCCACCTGTTCGGGGCTAATGCCATTTGGACTTCATGTTCTACTGGGTGCAAATGTCACTGAGGACAATGACATGAGCAGGACTTTCTCAGTCAGAGAGCTACTTTTATGCAACAGAAGAGACAGAGAGCTACACCTTTTTGCTGCCGTAATGAACGTCCAAATAATAACTACCACAAAACACGGAGAACACTGATGTAAAATATACCATAGTACAGTATAACCCTACATTTGTACTAAATATAGATATACAAATCTACCATAAAATAGAATCATTCAGGATGATGTGTTCATCTCTAAATCCTTTGGGGAGCTACCTGAAAGAGGCTGGCGAGCTACAGGTTGGAGACCCCTGACTTTGAGACTTAGAGCCTTTTATTTGGTCTCATTTCATGTGTTTCTTCAGGTTTGTTTCTGTGACACTTTGCTTTTGTTGAGGCAGCAGCTTGTGTCCAGATAGTGTTAGAGCTCGTTTTGTTTTCCTACCCTTTTCTGTATTTCTGTATTCTACCCATTTACATATCATCGTTAAATCACTTATTTAGCTGGAATCTGGAGATGGTTGCTCTGTTTTGACACTCCACACTAATGTATGCTTATGCCACAGCAGCAGAAATGTACAAAAAGCCTAATTACATTCATTTAGGTGAAAGTGGCACTTGTCATGCAGCACAGGTACAGACCCCAGGGACCGGTGTCTGTCAGAATGCTCCACAATCACCACAGACTGTTCATTTTAATGCTGCCTCATGTCGTTGATAACATCTCTATCAGATTAGGAGTAAAGCAGAGGTTTGAGAGAGAAGGAGAAGATAGAGTTATATACATGTGATTAGAAATTATGTTTATATCTTTATGTTTTAGAAATGATAAGAAATGTTCTGTATTTGGTATGAATACAGTCCAGTATGTTGATCATCCTAAAGCTTTTTAATAGAGAGACCAGAGAGAGACCAGAGAGAGAGAGAGACCAGAGAGAGAGAGACCAGAGAGAGAGAGACTAGAGAGAGAGAGAGAGAGACCAGAGTGAGAGCAAGAGAGAGAGAGACCAGAGAGAGAGAGACTAGAGTGAGAGAGACCAGAGTGAGAGCAAGAGAGAGCAGAGAGAGAGAGAGAGTAAGTAAGTAATCTTTATTTATATACCGCCTTTTCACTGCAGATCTGAGTCACAAAGCGGTTTACAATTGTAATTTTTTGGGCACTTGTCTCTCACTCCACACAGAGATGGGAGGGGCCAGTACAGGAGGCGCATGCCAGAACTATTCGACATATTTTTAGTGGTAGGGGAAACCGGAGTACCCGGAGGAAACCTACGCAGACACGGGGAGAACATGCAAACTCCACTCAGAAAGGCCCTGGTCCGACCGGGATTCGAACCCAGGACCTTCTTGCTGAGAGGCGAGAGTGCTATCCACTCAGCCACCCGTGCCACCCACCAGAGAGACCAGAGTGAGAGCAAGAGAGAGCAGAGACGAGAGAGAAAGAAACCAGAGAGACACCAGAGTCCAGAAAGAGAGAGACTAGAGATAAATAGAGCAAGAGAGACCAGAGAGAGAGGGGAGAGAGAGACCAGAGAGAGGTGCCAGAGTGAGTCAAGAGAGACCAGAGGGAGAGAGAGAGAGGGAGGGGGATAGAAAGAGGAGAGACCAGAGAGAGCGAGACTACAGGAGGAAAGAGAGAACTAGAGAGAGAGAGGAGAGAGAAAGAAACCAGAGAGAGAACAGAGAGAGACCATAGAGAGAACAGAACGAGACCAGAGAGAGACCAGAGAGAGACCATAGAGAGACCAGAGAGAGACCATAGAGAGACCAGAGAGAGACCAGAGAGAGACCATAGAGAGAAAGTATACACCAGACATGAAGTGCCCTATAGTGAGGGACCACTGTACATAGTTAATCCGTCGTGGTTTGAAACTTAGGTACTCCATCTTTGAAATTATTTTTAGATCAATGCTAAACGTGTGAAGAAACTATACCTGATCTACACAACGTATATCGTGTGTATGTCAGGGGGTGCAAAATGGGTGGTGGGTTTTAATATGGTTTTATTCATAATTTATGCATGTTGTGTTTGTGTGTTTTTAATATTGATTTTAACTGGCACCACCTGAAGCACCCCGGCTCCCCACGTGAGCAATCAAGACACCTGCGCCTTGAGAATAAAAGACTGAGACGGGGAGGGGGAGACAGAACGAGACGGAGAGAGAGAGCCTGAGACGGGAGCCCGACGTGGCGGGTGAGAGCCCCGTGGTCTGGCGGCCCAGGCCGTGGGGACGCGTTTTAGCCTATTTTAGCTTTTTACTCCGTTTTTTTAGCTTAGGGTTTCATTGCTTTTATTTACTTGTTTTTAATGTATTTTGTAATAAATTGCTTTTAATTCGCTTTTAATCCAGTGGTCTTTTTTTAAATCCGGGTCCGAAGAACCTGTTTTTACACTTGTGACATGTATATAAAAGTACCTAATATGTTTTATTGAAAGTCCAGTGTGGACATTGTTTTCCCGGAAACAGAAAACTAAAACCCGTGAATACAGATGAACCAGCCTTGTCCAAGTTGGTAATCACCATGGCAACAATCCTAATTCCTCATCAGTCCATTTGCTTTGGGAGAATGAGTCCTCAGCCCTGTGTGTGTGTGTGTGTGTGTGTGTGTCTTTCTCTCTCTCTGTGTGTGTGTGTGTGTGTGTGTCTTTCTCTCTCTCTGTGTGTGTGTGTGTGTATGATTTGCACGCGTCCTTGTGGCTATGCTAACACCGCCAAACCCTCCTCTGGCAAATGTTAAGTGAGTGGCACCTTGAGACCGACGCCTTGAAGACTTTGGGGAGAGTTTGGAAGGACGGAAGAGTGAGTCCAGAGAGAAGGCATCAAGGACGTCCAGTAAAAGTTTGTAGCGACGGGACTGAAACTTTAGAACGACGTGAAGCTACGATTAAAACAATGTTGACTTTTTACCCCAGTGAAGAGAATTACACTGGGGTTAGTTTTGGAATGAGCGAGATTACAACTGGATTCAGGGAAATAGGAAGACGTTTTAAATCAGGAGTGAATAAGTCTGAGTCCTGGGTCTACAGCCTCAGTCCTGGATCTACAGCCTCAGTCCTGGATCTACAGCCTCAGTCCTGGGTCTACAGACTCAGTCCTGGGTCTACAGACTCAGTCCTGGGTCTACAGCCTCAGTCCTGGATCTACAGCCTCAGTCCTGGGTCTACAGCCTCAGTCCTGGGTCTACAGCCTCAGTCCTCGGTCTACAGCCTCAGTCCTGGGTCTACAGCCTCAGTCCTGGGTCTACAGCCTCAGTCCTGGATCTACAGCCTCAGTCCTGGGTCTACAGCCTCAGTCCTGGGTCTACAGCCTCAGTCCTCGGTCTACAGCCTCAGTCCTGGGTCTACAGCCTCAGTCCTGGGTCTACAGCCTCAGTCCTGGATCTACAGCCTCAGTCCTGGATCTACAGCCTCAGTCCTGGGTCTACAGCCTCAGTCCTGGATCTACAGCCTCAGTCCTGGATCCGAAGAGGAAGAATTGACTCAGAGTTTATGGGTGATAAACCTTGTGGTCGAGCACATTTCAAATCTCAATATTGAACTAAAACAATGATAAATAAAAGCGTCTCCAAATCCTTCCTTCGTGTTCGCAGACGACAAGAACATGGTCAAAATCTGTGACATGTGGATTCTGCGTCTTCCTTCCCCTTTAACCCAGGTGCAAAGCCGCTCTCGTTGTAGTCCAGGCCCCTTTTTTTTTTGTTCTCGCCGAGAGCTCAGAGCAGGGGGTTTGTCCGTATTGCGAGCATCTGTCCAACGGGAAAAGTGCCAGAGATGAATCATTGCGCCTCCCTCTCACTCTGACCTCTGCCACGGCTTCAGATTGAATAGAGATTTTTGCCCATCAGTCAAATGAACGTCCTTGACCAGAAGGAGCTGTCACCTGCTGTAGAAACTTTGAGAAACAACGGCTAAAGCGCTACGTGTTTGGGCGGTAAAAGGGGCCGATAGCTTTGGATGGAGCGGCTGGTTGATACTTAGTCGCTGCTGTCACTTGCAAGAGACAGTTCTGTTTAGCTGTGCATACAACTGAGGGATTTTATATTTGTATCTTTCTTTTTAATGTTCTGTGATGATTTATGACTTTAATGCTTTCTTGTTTTGTTCAGCACTTTGAATTGCCTTGTGTATGAATTGTGCTATATAAATAAACTTGCCTTGCCTTGCCTTGCAGTAGAGCAGTGTAACTCATTGACCGCTATGGACGCACTGGTGATTTCGGTCAAACTTCTCTGTATTCGACAGAAGATTACAGCAAAACAAAACTAGCTTAGATACCAACATATTTTTGCTGATGAAAGTAGACGGTCCAATGACAATCTGGTTTCATATTTTTCATAGTCACAGCACACAATATTCTGTGGGTCTTGAAAGTCAGTCAGTGAGTTCATTTTGACAAGAAATTCTAATTTAGTTTTAGTCACAATTTTAGTCATCTGATTTAATTTAGTTTTAGTTTACTTTTAGTCGACAAAAATGTAAGCAATTTTAGTCGACTAAAAACATTTGTATAAATAGGACATTTTTGTACAAATATTAATAGTATTATCGCTTGTAGCAAACGATGACAAACATGACACTGGTAGCTGTTACTTTACTTTGGAGCATTCTTGTTTTTATATAATATCATTGTAGATCAACTGTAGATGTCACCATTTACTATAGGCACTTAAGAGTGTTTTACATGTTTTGTCCACATGATGGCGGTGTAACAAATCGTTTTCAACCATG